ACTTTTTAATATACAACGCTTTTATAAATGGACTAAAAAGTAGAAAATAATATTTCTCAGTCCCATAGAATTTGTTTTGATAACTTTTGATTTTGAAATTTTAGCAAAAGTGTATGTACATACAAACGAGCACCAATTAATTTTATTTAAAGAAATGGCGTGTCGTCTATTTCCGCTGTAGCAAACGTAGTACATAGGGCGACATCTAGATGTCATCTACCTCGCCCTATTTACTACAGATGTCGCCCTATGCACTATGCTTTTTTATAGGAACTTTTCAAAGCAAAGCTTTATGGTGTCACACAACATTGAAAGTTTCTGGATCCACACCATTGAAAGTTTCTGGACACACAACATTGCAAGTTGATAAAAGCGTTGTAAAATGGGATGGACGGGGCAAGATTGCGACAGCTTGTATCCCTATTTACCCTATCAGTGAACGAATTACAACAATCGGCATGAAAGCTAAACATATAAACGAGCTACGAGAATCGATCACGGGAATGCTGCAGAAGTAGAAACACTTTGGTTTTATAAGCGTGATTACTCGCGAGTGACGTTAGTGCGATATTTTTTACGGTTGCGTGAGTGTAAGAAAGTATAGTTAGTAACTACCTATCTTTCACCATTGATAGTCGACTACTGTCTAACAATCTACATTCCTATCTGAAGAGTGAGTCCACGGGGACCCCGCTGCATAGCCTGATGAGTTTTATTGAAAAAGCCTTCAGTTACAAGGATTATTGTCTTGTAGCCTTTCTAAATATTGAATAACTCGGAGGCCATATTGCAGGGCTTGAGGGGACTGGAGGTGGAGTTTATAACTCAGCAGGGTGATCACGACAAGTGTCGGTGAGCGTGCTCTCGCCACTGCTTTGGGACTTAACCGTGAACTCTCTCTTGCGAGAGACGAAATGGGTAAGCGCCAAGGTTGTGCTTATGCCGATGACGTAGCCATAACGTATAGAGGGGGCAAGTCCCGCAAAATCTGTGTGAATTGATGCAGAGGGCACTTCGCGAAGTATCAAGATGTGGCCAGTGCGTCAATTCGGAGAAAGTGGAACTTGTACTCTTTACGAGAAGATGCCCCCACAAGACTCCACCTGAACTAAATGTGCGACTCTTAAACTTAACGAATAAAGGAAAATTCTTAGGCATCATTCTCAACAAAAAACTCAGCTGGAAGGGGAACATAGTCCAGCGTTATGAGAAGGCGTCTGTGGCTTTATATTCATGCAACCAGGGCCATTTGTAAGAAATTGGTGTTGAACCCGAGTATATATAGATTTACACAGCGGTTGTTAGACTAATTCTTTTTTGTGAAATTATATTTAGTATGGTGGTCGGTCTTGAGCAAGACCCCTTAATCTACTCAGCAAAGTACAGAGGATGAGTATGATCTGCATTAGCGGAGCGAGCCGCACAAAGCCAAATGAACGGTGGAGTGAGAGGGGGGCTCTTTTGCCGCAGCCCTGTCCTGAGCCAATCATTTCGACTACAGAACTACTTTAGTATCTTCCAACCTGAGGTCTTAGCTTTAAAAGGCTGCTTTTAAGAGAACTTATCTATGCTCGCGCTAGCGAGAATTGTCGAATTTCTAGGCAAGCTTGGCCTAGGTGGGATCGAAAAAGGTCTCGAGGAGTATATTCTCTAAAAAGGGAGGATATATATCACACAATTGGTGCTCTAACAGGCCACTGCCTTATAGATGCTGCAGAACATTTATAAAAACCAGCACTTCGACTTTAACGAAAGTAAGTACCGTTTTCATGTACTATTCCTACCTGCTGCCTGTAAAGGGCCCGTCTCTACTACATATTCCCAGTGATCGGGTTTCTACCACATTTTGGTATATCTGCCACTTTTTTGAGCATCTACCACATCTTGGTCTAGGTCACAAGGTCTGAAATCTACCACATATTCGCGTTTTTGAGTAGTTTTATTTTTGCTTGACATAATTTTCTTAATTTTAAGAGCAAAGAATGGGATTATAAAATAAACTGTAAAATATTAAATTTTCTCAAATTCAATTTTTTGACAGGAAACGTGGTTTTATTGCTTTAAAGTGCAAAATATATGATTTATAAAAATAATTAATAGCGAAAATGTTAAAAAACGGCGATTTTTGTGAAAGTATTAGCAAATTTCAGTGCATCAAAAGCTTCTAAATCGTTGTTTATCTTTTCTTGATAATTGTCAAAAAATCCCAAGTAGCGCTTTCTGGGAACGTGCCACATTTGTTCACTACATCGGTATGTGATAAAAAGAAAACCTGGCAGCACTCCGCAAGGTTGCAGAAATCTTTCAAAATATGTTCGAAAAATATCGTGGTATGGAAGGAACTGCTTTACATTGTCAAGGAAAAAAATTGTCAGAACTCAACGCAATTTTTAGCAACTTCAATCTTACACTTTATTATACTAAAATTAATTTTCTTAAATTCTAATTAAAATGTTTGCAATTTAGGTGAAATCTTGCAGAATTTTTTTAATTTTTGTACAAAGTTTGATACAAAACCTGAGATCTACCACGTTTTTTTTGAAATCTACCACATTTTTTTTTCCAGATTCTACCACACAATTTTTTTTTAAGTCCGATCACTGCTTATTCCCTATATTTTGTTACTTAAAAAATAAGTTAAGGATGGCGGGACAAGGATAGTCCAAGCACATAATTCATTTTGTAGCTGAAATTGTTCTTTCTGTTTTTCAATCAAATATCTATTGCTTTGGCAGAATCAAATATCTATTGCTTTGGCAACAGTTGTTTCTGGCGCTAGTAATCACTGGACAAAGCAACACATTTTCGTCTATTGAACTGTATGCCAATTCTCATTTGCGTTGTTGGTGTTTCCGACAGGGCAGGAGTGTGATGTAATGTGGAACGATTTTCCGTCATCCCTTGTCAAATTTGGTTTGGGAAATTTGGTATGCCAATTAGTTAATCATTAATTGATTGGTTGACTGATTTGAATGCGTGCCACATGCATGGATACTTTTCAATAGGTACATTTGAGTAGTCCACTTGCAAAGTGCGCTATTTAAAATTTTTTCGATTTTTAGTTTTTGGTGGATTACGTACCAGTATTTAAAGTAGTTTCATGTCCACTAATAACACACAAAATTTTTTTATATTCTGAAAAAATAGCATAAAATGTTTACTCTTCCTCCAAAAGTCGCTATCATACATATTTATAAACTTTCAAAAGTATCCATTTTCTGATGAACTTAGAAAACTGCTTTAGGTCGTATAGACTGTTAATGTTATCTCATGTCATGGTATGTTATGTTATAATTTTATAAGGCTCTTATTTATCCAAATTTTCAGGTAATAATAAAAAATATTCAATTTAAATATTACTTGTTGTCGTAGTAGTTTTTTCAAATTTATGGCTTTCTATTATAAAACCACATAACGCTGTTTGCAAGTGGACTACTCATTTCATTTTTTTTTTGTTTTCATTGTTTTATAACAGTTTTTTTATGTATACTTAATTTTAGCGTCTTCAAGCACGACTGATGTCATCGGAAAGTCTACTACTAATTCATTTGTGATTGCTGATAATTCATCTACCCCAGCGGCCCAGCCTGATTTAGCAGCTTCCGAAGATCCGTTTTTATTCATCCTAAGTGATGTTTATTGGCTGAGCGCTATTCTGGTCATATCCTCATTCATCGGATGTTTCCTCATTCATCATGTGGATTTGCGGCAGAGATTGATGGGAGCTCGCATGCGCATTGCATGCTGCTCTCTGATCTACAGAAAGGTGAGTGGGTTATTAAAAAGGCTATTCTGTGGCTAAATAATTTTTAACTTGGTTTCATTATATATTTAGCTGTAAATTATTTACTTATGATAATGGCGTTATGACCTCTTAAAATTTATTTATTTAATATATGTATAGTCTATGAATAAACAAACGATGAGATCTGGTTAAATTCATTAGGAGCGCGGGTAATTGGTGCATTTCGCGCATAATTTGTTCTACTATTAATGCCATAAAGAGGGGCAGAACAATCTAAAAATCTTCTAAATCTTCTTGGAGCATTCAAATTTATTTTCTCAAGTAGGGCAGAACAATCAAAATCTCCCTGGATAATGCCATAAATAAAAGTTAAAGAAAGAATTGACCTTCTGTTTTATATGGGTTTAGGACTTAAAAGAAGTAAACGAGCATTATTTGATGGAACAGGATCAGTGAATCGTAGGGATGGCAATGCATACCTAAGGAAGACTTTTTAAATTCGTTCAATCCGGTTAATTAACAATTTTGGAATAGGCCGCCAAATAATAACAGAGAACATATATAACGCCCTGGTACGGTTGCCAGTAAAAAAGCCTGGCAAAGTTCCTACGTCGGGCCTACTCAGGTGAAGCGAGTTTTTGTCATCTTTACCTCTTACCTTCTGTTTTTGTCCAACAATATTGGCCTTCCTTTCATCCAGATATAATAATTTCGCGGTGGTAGGTAATAAAATCAACGGAAATAAGGTCAATTTACTTTATTTCCCACCCTGGTGCGAAATAAAGTCAATTGATATTATTACCTTTTCTAAAGCGAAATAAAATCCATTGACATTATTGCTCTTACAAACATTAAATTTGCTTAGCTTCGCGGCGGCCCGCGTCCGTGCGACATACCTCGCGCCCCGCGTACCCGCGCGACCTGCGCGCCACACCACGTCACGCTACGCCGTGGATTTTGAGATGGTTTCGTTCCTCTGTCTTACCAAATTATATCTATTGCCCTATTGTCTCCTGATTAGCTTTCGCGTTATTCAAGGATAGCTTAATCTAGATAGCACAGATTCCATGAGAGCTCGTCACCAAGAATAGCTCCCAGATATTTCACTTCTTCAGAGAAGTACATTTTTTCTTCTCGTGGAAGTAGTTCTCCAAAGTTTACCTTTTTTCCTAGTCTTCTTAGAGCTAACGTTTTAATAAATTTACTGCACGATTTGGCGACTATGTTCAGTGCATTCTGATTAAGCAGACAGTATCTCAACGTAGAGGCTTTTGCCACGAAGAGAGCAGAGTAGCTCGTATTCGTCGAAGTGAGATTCCTTCAGCCAGACTCCTTCCTAATGGTATTGATTCTAGACTTGAGGGCTCTGGCTTTCCCAAGCATATGGTAACGACAAATCCTTTGCGCCGGACGTATTTGTCGATTAGATAGTGTTACTGTTATCAAAAGCACCTTTCGCGTCCAAAAATCAACCTACGTCCAATTCTTTATTTTACTTAGAAAATTAATTTTTTTTTTGAGAATCTGCATATTGAACTTCATGGCGGAAGGTCAAACTCGTTTTAATGCAAAGGCTTTTCTGGCCGCCATAGACGAGTGGTTAGCGGTGACCCCTACCACCCGGTTGCACACAGTTTCCATTCCTGGATCTGTAAAAACTTCCCCTTGCATGCCTATCCGCGATCCTTCTCGTGGTTTTTAGTAGAAGAATATAAGTTTGATGGGTCGGCATGACTTTGTTCGGTTTGTTGATTTCCCCCTACTCTGGGAATGTACCTAACCTTCACTTCTTACTGTTTGTGCGTTGGGTATCCCCAAGCATATCATCTGTTAATGATCTACATAGATCTCATCTTTTACATATGTAATTTTATTAGAAAAATCGCTAAACCCCTTAGTTATAATTAGTCTACTAATAACAATATTTGAATTCTTATTTTTCAGACCCTTAACCTTTCGATGCGTTCAGCTGGACAAACGCCCACAGGCTATCTAATCAATCTGCTCTCCAACGATGTAAATCGCCTTGATTATGGTTTTATTTTCATGCATTGGATTTGGATATTGCCTTTGCATGCTATGCTAATTTGCTATCTCATTTGGTTGCGCAGTGGTTGGGCCGCCATTGTGGGTGTTGTAAGCATTCTACTTCAAACTATTCCCATACACACTGCCCTCAGTAAGTTGTCTTCGAAATTACGCATGAAAATCGCCGAACGCACCGATGCACGCGTTGGCATCATGCATGAATTGGTGCAAGGAATACAGGTGATTAAAATGTACGCCTGGGAGAAACCCTTCCAGGCTGTGGTGGGCGAAGCACGCCGACGTGAAATTAAACAAATTCGTTACGCTTCCTATTTGCGTGGCTTCTACTTGAGTACTATGGTGTTCACTCAACGTTCCACGCTCTACATCACCATCGCAACAGCGGTACTAATGGGAAATCAAGTTTCAGCGGATATGGTTTTCTCAAGCGCTAGCTACTATGACATACTAAAAATTGTTGCGGCCATTTGGTATCCGCTCGCAGTGTCACTCGGTGCTGAGGCATTAGTATCGCTAAAGCGTGTTGAATCGTTCCTATTGCAAGAGAAACACGATGAGAAGGTACACGGGCTGACACATAGGAAGGGCGAACCTAAAGGAGATGAACGTGATGCCTCCACAGCAATTGTACTCAAACAAGTGAATGCGAATTGGGATTTGGCAAAACCGCAGCTTACATTGCAGAATATCAATTTGAAGATAGAGAGAGGACAATTATGCGCTGTTATCGGGCCAGTGGGTGCGGGTAAGGTAAGTGTAAAATTATTTATCTGTATATATTGTACTACTAATAAATTTACGTTTTTTAGAGCTCATTGTTACAACTGCTATTGTCCGAATTGCCGATCATAGATGGCGAAGTGGTTATACGAGGTGAACTTTCTTACGCCGCTCAAGAACCATGGCTATTCGCCAGTACTGTGCGCAATAATATACTATTCGGCGAAACTTACGATCGCAAGCGCTATCAGGAAGTGACTAGGTGTTGTGCCCTTACTAAGGATTTCCAACAGCTAGCCAATGGTGACAAGACGAATGTGGGCGAACGTGGCGCATCATTGTCCGGTGGACAGCGTGCGCGTATCAGGTAAATTGCTGTCGTCTATATTCTATACTTGCTAGTTATATAAAGAGAAGTCCCTTTTTTGTAACAGGTAATCTCGCGAAAGGCTAGTCCGATTTTCATGAAATTTTGTATATAAATAGCTTTCAGCAACCACCATGTCATAGGCCAAAAGAAGTTACTCTTTTCGGTAGGTTGACCAGGGACCGATCTATTCGAAAAAATCGTGTTTATGGTCCGATTTGCTTAAAATTGTATACGTTGGTAGCTTTTTGCCTAGATTAGCATTTCCGGGAAGTGCACCAGGGACCCCTCTATTGGGAGAAATCGTATTTATGGTCCGATTTGCTTAAAATTTTATACGTTGGTAGCTTTTTGCCTAGATTAGCATATATGATTTTTTCCCGGAAAGTGGATCAAGGACCGCGCATTGAGCACTCTCTAAATATTATTTGATTTCAATAAATAAAATGGGGATATAATCTTTTCGGTATAGAACAATCTTAATGGGCGCCGGCATTAAAATTTCGGATTTTCTGTTGATTGGCCTGCTCTAATTAGAAGCTTTGGAGAGTGGCCCCACTACTGAAAACCGGCAAAGCAGACGACAAAGGCGAGTCTCATCGCCCGATAACTCTCTTTTTCCCAAGTAGCCAAGAAACTTGAGACTTTACTACTCCGTACTTTACGTACAATTTATCAAACTCATCATCGATATGTTTTCTGTAAAGTGTACAGCCTAAGCTCTATAAACACTCAGAAGCGAAATGGCTTCTATGTGTTGGCCTTGCAATGCTACTAGAAAACATTGAGATATCGTCCCTCTCACTGGGACTAAAACAGTCAGCACTATTTTGTTATCCAACTTCTATGCCAAGAAGAATTAAGCAGTGGCTTCACATATGTGTTTAACTTCAACATATCGAAGCTCGCTGAGCCACCGGAGAGGCTTTTACTGATCTTATATGCTAACAACTGTTCGATATTGACTTTTGTCTTCTCCAAGTAAGATAGAGAGAGCGTGTGGGTCTGATAGTGAATGAGGACAAAACAAAGTATCTCCAAAACAAAGGAATTCTGTGCGATGGAAATATCAAGTGGAGAAGAACTTGTTTTCACTTGGGATTTACAATTGACAATGAAGAGAAAATACTGGCGTTATAGCGCCAATCAAAAAGAATGATGAAAGTGATTGATTATCTATCCGATCTTTATTGCTTCTCACTGCAGGGAGCATACCATCTTACCATCAATGATCAACAGAGCCAACTGTTAGGCACGTCAGAAGGCTTCTTCACGAAGCCAAGGACGAGATCCAGACATAAATTGCACAACAATCGAACCCGACGTTGGACAGATAATTTCAATTCTCGTCCGTGAACTTCGTCGTAGGAATTTATCCATCTTCTATCGCAGAGGAAGAGTTAAAGCTGCCACGGGAGGCCTCGAGTAGCTTATAAGTCTAATAGGCGGCACACACGGTGCATCTGACTCATGAATCATTTGTGTACGTATTGGCTCGGCTTTCGACTACACACAGTTGAGTCACTCAGAGTCATGTCGGTGTAACTAACACATATTTATTTTCTCTAACACATGCAAACCGACTCGCGAGTCAGACGCAAGGTGTATGCCGCCTATTAGTCTGCTAGCACAGTTGTTTCGGGTTATATAGTTTACGTTTTGCTGGGTAGCTTGGGTCGCGGGTTTTTTCATTTCGGAAATAGCAAGCCTTTTGAGTTATTCGTTTACAGTGAATAGATTTCACTGCAGATTAAGGATTTAGATAAGGAAATCTCTCGAACAATTTCCAAAGCCTTTTGTACCAATATTTCGCTTTGCATGATTTGTTTTCTGTTATTTAATCCAAAACTTGGAATAAATAAGAAATAAAGCTTAAAAATAAATACAATCGAAATTCTTGTAATTTCATGGAGAAAAAATACTCACAATGTCTTTATATGTATATTTTCTCAATTTCTTTCCAGCTTAGCACGTGCCGTCTACAAACCCGCTTCCATTTATCTTCTCGACGATCCACTTGGTGCTGTGGATGCGCACGTCGGGCGCCATCTTTTCGACGAAGTCATCGGTCCACGTGGCCGTTTGGCCTCCGAAAAAGCAACACGCGTTCTCATTACCCATCAAGTACACTTCCTTACCGAAGCCGATTGGATTGTAATTTTGGAAAATGGTTGCATATCACATCAAGGTACCTACGAGGAGCTATCTAACAGTGATTTAGATTTTGCTAAACTACTTGAGCGCATAAAGGAGAAGGAGTGTGAAGATGAAAACGAATCGATTTTGTCATACGATCTGAGTACCTACGAAGTTGACGACATACCGTATATTGATGGTGAGGGAGATGGCTATCAATCGCTACGTCGTACCAGTGTTAATGATGGTTACCTAACACGAAAATCGGTTAGTCTGGCCATTAGTTCGGTAGCAGATCTCTCCGAAAATTTGGGTGGACCTGAAGATCAGGCGAAGGGTGGAGTTTCAGGACGTGTTTGGTGGGAATATTTCCATGCTGGTAGCAATCTTTGCGGTTTGATCTTAATGACAATTTTCATGCTAATGTCGCAGGTGGTTTGCAGTGGATCTGATTATTTTGTAAATATTTGGACACAACAAGAATATTTGCGTTCGCTAAGTAAGCCAACCACGTTTACCACATTCGAATGTTTGTACATATATGGTGTACTGATAATTGCTGTTATTTTGGTAAGTTTGATAGAAAATTTTGAAAAATAATATCTATGCACATACTATGCCAGTTCTGTTGATTGGTCATGAAATATGTCTTTAAATTGTGTAAAAATACCTAATAATAGATTGGCGCTTACACATATGTTAGTGTTTGGCCGAGCTTCTCCTCCGAATTGTGGCGTGCGCCTTGATGTTGTCACACAAAGCGGAGGGACCTACAGTTTTACGCCGACTCCGAACTGCGATTGTATTTTTTATGAGAAGCCATTTTTCATGGCAGAAAAACACTCGGAGGTTTGCCATTTCCTGCCGAGGGACGACCGCTGTTAAGAAAAAACCTTTTTTCTATATTTTTTGCGATGTTGCTTTGACCGGGGTTTGAACCCAGATGCTGCGGAGTGGGATCGCGCACTGCTTACCACTACACCACAGCGGCCTCCGAAATATAAATTTAGAATGGTGGTGATTGATATACGAATTACTGATTTAACCCTCTGTTGTGTGCTGTGGCCTACGCAGGCCATTTCGATTGTCAAAGGTGTATATCTTTCGTTAAATCTTTTAGAATCGNGAGGGACCTACAGTTTTACGCCGACTCCGAACTGCGATTGTATTTTTTATGAGAAGCCATTTTTCATGGCAGAAAAACACTCGGAGGTTTGCCATTGCCTGCTGAGGGACGACCGCTGTTAAGAAAAAACCTTTTTTCTATATTTTTTTGCGATGTTGCTTTGACCAGGGTTTGAAGCCAGGTGCTGCGGCTGCTTACCACTACACTGCGCGCAATGCTTACCACTACACCACAGCGTCCTCCAAAATATTAATTTCGAGTGGTGGTGATTGATATACGAATTACTGATTTAACCCTCTGTTGTATGCTGTGGCCTACGCAGGCCATTTCGATGGTCAAAGGTGTATATCTTTCGTTAAATCTTTTAGAATCGGCGACAATATACCATATCCGTCGACGAAGTAAAGAGTATGTGAATTCTACAAACATTGCCGGCTAACGCATAAGGAAAAAAACGGTTTTACAAAAAAACTGTTGCCACAAATTTGTAACTTTCTATTCATTTTTTTTTTAGAAAAATTCTAAGTATGCAGTTGTATATCTCATTCAAAGGTGCCAGAAAATTGCATTTATTTTTGGCAATTTTTTTTTTTCGCAGGTGCTTCCATGCAAAGTATGTTCGAAAATTATATTTTTTTTTTGTAAGGAGAAAATGAGCAACACGTTCCACTGACAAGACATCCACGGTGTGGAAACCAAAAGCTACACTTGCGACGTGTCTAGTCGCCGGACCGTCAACTACATAACCAGTTTTTATATGTTGGGTTTTTTATATAAATTAATTATAATTAATAAATTTTTCACAGTAATTAGTAAAAACATTAAAAAAGGCAAAATTTGGGAAATACTTTTTGAAGACGAATCAATTACATTTTAAATACATACATCTAACGTTTCTACGTTTTCTCATAGGTGGTCTAGTCAGGCCATTTCACACAACGAAGGGATAAAAAAATTTCACACAACGGACAGTAAAAAAAAATGTTGCTCAGGATAAGCAATATCTTAGTTTTTTTGTATAATTAAGCGACAGAGCCAAATCCAATCCGAAATGACTGAGAGTATTTGGGCTTCATGTACAAAAGGTGAGCTTAATTAACTGAAAATCGATTCGGAGCTTTAACTCACTTTTCGCGCATGAGGCCCATCTCCAAACGAAATTTGACAAGGGTTGACAGAAAATCGTTCCACAATACATAATACTCCTATCCTATCGGAAACACCAACAACCAAAATGTAGATATGAGTATTCTGTGTAGCCTCTCCTCAAAGCCTATTTTCTTACATTCGGTTGTACTGTAGGCCCAGGAAACATACAGTTTCGACGGGGATAGACCATAGAGGGAAATTGAATGAGGGGGTTTGATTGGCCATATTAAGCGGTGGTTAGTGTCATGCATCACATCATCACATATTAGATCAGTATGTCTGGGTTGATTCTAGAGAATTAGGAGTCTAAACTGCTACAACATACCAAACGAACTTATGTCTAAGTAACGAAGCTCCATATTTGTCTTCGATGACTATGTAGATTCTGTATGTATGCCTAGAGTTTATCGAGTGGTTCCAAAATTCTATCAGAAAATAAGCCAGTAATCAAATAGATTAAGAATGGGGCTCCGTTGAAATTGAGGACTTATCCGCTGCGTTTGAGACCAAACAAGGTTTTAGACAAGGCATTCACTCTCGCGCGACTTTTCATTCTGATTTTAGAAAGCGTAATAGGGGCTGCCAATTTGAATCGCAGCCGCACCATATCAAGCCTTAACCGCCAAAAAGATGTAAGCGTCATTTTTTTTTTATGCTGAAATGCATCAAGATGCTTTAGGAACATTTCTGCATAAACAAGAAAATTAAAAAAAAATTGCTTACATATTTTGGCGGTTAGGGCTCGATATATAGCAAGGGAGCAATGCTGCTGGCGTAGGCACATGACATCGGCATCGTCAGCCTGAAACTTAGGCACGTAAGCGCAGCATTTTCCAACAAATCAAGCGAAGAATTACTCCTTCCAACAGGTACTACGTTGAGGTGGGTAGGCAATCAAAAAACGGAGCCCTCTCTCGATGAACAAAAAAACGTGGACGATCAAACAAAGGTGAGAAGGCTTTGAGTGCTTCGGAGAAAACTAGTCTAAAATATAGCGACGCTCTGGTGAAAAGAAGGACACACATGGGTAAACAACGAAAACAAAGGCCGCTCACTTCTGCAGAAAAACTGGTCGGCTCTCGGAATGAACAACTGGCGCATATTCGAAATAGGCAAATTTTTTTGGTCCGCCCAAACCTACAAGCGGTTGTAGTGCATGTTTGAAGCATTTTACTAGTTCTCAGTGATCACTCAGTTATGCATATCATATTTTCCAACCAGTCGGCCAATCGCCTTTTATGTTGCCCACAAGATTTCTTTATCTTTGACTCTGCTGTCGATACGTTTGGACTTATTGGGATGCTTATTAGCGGCCTCCCTAAACTTATTCCTAAATGTAAGTTCTTCAACATCCCGATTTCCTTACAAGCCCTAACAATAACACCAACGACTACCGTGTCGAATTTAATCGAGGGATCATAGATGATCTCTTAGAAATCTGCAGCATGTATATATTTTAAAATAAAGAGCATTCACACTGGAAGTAGGAAAAAAATAGTTTCTCCATCATCGCCACAGTTCCTTGGTAATGTTCGCGTTGGTCCGTGGTTCATCTTGAATGACTTAAAAGGTTCGGGCTCTTAGTTGAGTTCTAATAACGGGTGTTCCAGATTATGTATTTTAAATGCAGGATACCTCCTGCTTGATTCCTTCTGTCTTCGGTTAGGGCTGCATATGCGAATTCTATGTAGTGAATATAGCGCTAAATTCCTCAGCAGCTCCGTGTGGAGTTCTATTCCAACTTTTGTCACGTTAGGGCACGTTATAGTTTTGAACTAAAGTTGAAGTTGAGTTCAAAACTAAAAAGCGTTTAGAACTTTTCTCAGTTGCTCTCCCAGAGAGAAAAACACAACAACAACTGCGTGGAAAAAAAGTTCTGAAATGTAACCATGAATCCGCCTTTAGTCACGATATGTTCTAACTTAAAGTTGCCTGGTATTTTTCTTGGCATTTTTATTTTAGTACTCTAAATCGTTTTTCTTCTCTCTCCTCCATACAGATGACTATCTTCCGTGGCTACCTTTTCTTTAAAGTCTGCATGCATGCGTCCAAAGTGCTGCACGATCGCATGTTTGGCTGCATACTGCGTGCAACAATGCGTTTCTTTGATACAAATCCGTCCGGTAGCATTCTAAATCGCTTCTCCAAAGATATGGGCGCCATTGACGAATACCTACCAAAGGCCATAATGGATTTCATACAAGTCGCCTTAGCCATGTTTGGCATATTAATTGTGATCACTCTAGTCAATCCCATACTGCTAGTGTCTACCTTCATAATGGCTGTGGTAGATTACTGTGTGCTGCGGCTCTATTTGCGGCCATCACAAGATCTAAAGCGCTTGGAAGGCATATGTGAGTGTGCTAGTGTTGTTATTTGTGAGCTGGGTTTTTAATATTTTTAAATTTGTCTCAACTTCTTCAGGTCGCAGTCCCGTCTTCTCACATCTCTCTGCTACACTATCCGGCATTGCGACGATACGCGCACGTGAATTGCAAGATGTTGTAGCGAAGGAGTTCGACAGTCTGCAGGATGTGCATAGCGCAGTTTGGCAGCTAACAATGTCCTCAAATATAGCGCTGGGCTTGTGGTTCGACTTGGTCAGCTGCTGCTTCCTTGCCTCTGTGACTTTCAGTTTCACACTGGGCGACAATCGTAAGTGCACTCAAATCTGATTTAATAACTTTACACATTCTCTCTTCGTCACTTTCAGGCACATTTAGCGGCAATGTAGGTCTAGCTATTTCGCAAGCTACGATACTTACCGGCATGGTGCAATATGGTGTACGCCAAGTGGCCGAATCGCTGCAACAAATGACCAGCGTTGAGCGTGCACTACAATATACCGATCTCGAACAAGAGTCTGAAATTACAAAACTGCCGCCGAGCAATTGGCCCACACAGGGGCAGGTTGAATTTAAGGATTTGTCGCTGCGTTATGATCCCAGCAATCCAGCCGTGCTGAAACACTTGACTATCACAATCGAACCTAACTGGAAAGTTGGTGTGGTGGGACGCACTGGCGCCGGCAAGAGTTCACTCANCCAGGGGCAGGTTGAATTTAAGGATTTGTCGCTGCGTTATGATCCCAGCAATCCAGCCGTGCTGAAACACTTGACTATCACAATCGGACCTAGCTGGAAAGTTGGTGTGGTGGGACGCACTGGCGCCGGCAAGAGTTCACTCATTGGTGCGCTCTTTCGACTCTCACATCTGGAGGGTGACATTCTGGTCGATGGCATTGAGACGGGCAGTATTTCACTGGAGGCGCTGCGTTCAAAGATTTCGATTATACCACAAGATCCCGTGCTGTTCTCCGCCACAATACGTTACAATTTGGATCCATTCGATAAGTATGGTGATGCCGATTTGTGGCGCGCGCTAGAAGATGTAAGTTAAGAGTTTGCATGACCTTCTTTTAGGTTTAAAAACGTTTCATGCACATACATATATATGTGTAGGTTGAATTGAAAGGCGTCATACCAGGCTTGGATTACATGGTGAATCAACGCGGCAGCAATTTCAGTGTTGGCCAACGTCAGCTGCTATGCATGGCGCGTGCTATATTGCGTAACAACAAGCTGTTGGTACTGGATGAGGCCACCGCCAACGTGGATCCACAGTGCGTTTTTAGTGAAGTGTTTTCGTTTTTTGTAAAATCGCTTTATTTCATCTCTGCTCTATCTCTTTCTATTGTATCTTAGAACTGATGCCCTCATTCAATCCACCATTCGTACCAAATTCATGCACTGCACTGTGTTGACTGTAGCGCACCGCCTACGCACCGTTATAGATTCAGATCGTATACTCGTTATGGATGATGGCCGTGTACGAGAATTCGATATACCGCATTTATTGTTAAAGAAGGAAGGTGGTGCCTTACGGCATATAGTAGACGCTACTGGTGCCGAAGCGGAATTGTTGAAGAAAATTGCCAGCGAGACATACCATAAGATGCAGCGTGCATGAGTGTGTGGGTCGGGAGAGGTGGGGAGAGTAGGTTAGAGTTTGAAAAACAATCGAAGGTACGCACGTAGGGTGAAGCGCTGTTTTTGTTAGCTACATTCATCGTACAGTTTCATAAGTAAAAACACTATCAGCTGATTGCCAAAATATGCCTACAGCTGAGATCACCTGTTTTTTGGCATGTGCTCTTATCTTTTACAATTTCTNGGGAGGGGAGAGTAGGTTAGAGTTTGAAAAACAATCGAAGGTACGCACGCAGGGTGAAGCGCTGTTTTTGTTAGCTACATTTTCGGGTTGAAATTTAAAAAAAATGGAATCGTTAATGATTAGGTTATAAAATTCAAACTGCCTTTATTGAAAAGTACAATTTTATAGAAGTTTACTAAAAATTGCAAACATACATATGTATGGACATCAGACCGTACCTGAAAAAAAGTTCGCTATAAACGTTTTAATTTACAGCCCTATTCGCGTTAATTGTCGTTAATTGTCACAGTTCAATTGTCATTATCGTGTCATCAACTGTAGTGATGGTATGCACAGTCAATAGTTCTGTTCGCTATGCAAATGCCATTAAGAATAAGCCAGTAACAAAATTCAGAGAATAGGGTATCTTACTCTCTCAAAGAGAGAAACTTATTAATTAAACTTAAGTTTTCCGCGTAAGTAAGTAAGTAAGTATATGCCCGACCGCAACTCAATTCTGACAAAGGCTACGCTAAATTTCCATCGCCAAACTTCTCTTAATTAAAAGCCGCAAAAAACAAAATACCCAATATGGAACCGTCCG